TATGTGTGTGTGTGTGTGTGTGTACCATAGACGGATTACCCAATAAGCAAGGTAAGCAAGGGCTTACTTGTGGTTTCTTACTAATCTGTAGTGCATGATTTCACCCGTTTTTCACTACATCAAAGATGTGCAATTGTGCACTGCGCCCTACAGATTAGTAAGTAAGCACAAGTAAGCCCGTGCGTACCTTGCTTACTGTAAGCTGATGCATCTGGTGCTTACTGGGTAATTCAGCCCCGGTATGTGTAAACTTACATACACACACACAATGTGATTCTCATTTGATTCTGATAGACTCGGGGTGAATCACAAACAGGCACGGTGTTCCCCAAGCAGGTATCAGTTAAAAACGTCCCCTCTGCTCTCCCGGTTCTCCACAGCATTTGGGTAGAGCCCAGCAGGTGTCAAGAGAAGATCAGACTCCACTAACTTACATTGAGAGCTCTAGCTGATTTACATATGTAATGTCATTTAATCTTCACGGCAACACCAATCCGTCTCTTAGGTGGGTGCTATTTCTGGTTTGCAGATAGGAACCACCTCTCATGATGTGTCCTGGACTCCCAAAGTTAGTGGCAAAGCTGGTCAGATAACCAAGCCCAGATCTCACCCCATGAGCCACAGCGCCCCCTACAGGCCAGACCACAGTACTATGGGAACCAGTGGGGGAAGCAGGGGATGGCTACAAAGAGGGTCCAGGTGGATGGAGTCAACGCAGCCCACAGGACGATGAGAATGTCTCCAAATAGCAAAGACCTTCCTGGATTTATCTGCAAGCGTGAGCTACTAGTTTATGAAAAGGTAATCGATCTAGCGGTTTAGAATGCGCCATTCTAAAGTTTCTTTTTATGATCTCTTTTTTGACAAATTACAGGTTTCTCTGAGTTGGAAACTGAAAGTATTTGATCATATGAACTTGATGAATAAAAGCACACAAAGCATTTTCCACTACTATCCTCCATCAATAATCAACTTTTTAAGGTAAAAACCTTACCCTTTTTCCTTCTGTCACCCACAAGCTCATTCCCCAGTAACAGCTGCTATTCAGAATTACTATTTCTGAAACAAATTTTTCAGTTACCACATGATACACTGTGGTAAAGGGCACTTAATATGCAAACTGCCGACAACTTAACATTATCTTCCCTCCTGTTGCTCTTTATTTGGTCTTGAGCAGCCGAGGTTTGAGGTTTTAATCAACGAGCATGGAATGCGGCAATTTTTAAAATCAAAGGAGGGGTTTTTTTTTTTGTTTTTGTTTTTCGATTATTTCATTCACTGCTTATACCAAACCATACAACAGTCTTAGAAATAAATTAACTGACTGTCTCTCCCACACCCTTGCTGTTAGGTACCACGGAGTCGGTTCCGACTCACAGCGACCCTGTAGACCTGACCATGTCTAGATGCAGGCTGGCTTCCGCGTGGCCCGTACAGTGGGAGAGAGAAGCACTCAGGACTCCAGTCCGGCGTGTAACCCCAGGCCAAGTGAGCCCTGTCTTTAAGTCTCATTTCCATCACCTGTAAATGGAAATGATAACAGCACCTCCTTCATGTGGCCGTTGAGAGGACTGGAGGAGCTGATCTCGGAAAGCATTCACAGAATGCCTGACTCGTCACAAGTGCTCAGCTCTTAAGAAAATGGCGAATTTGAGAGCTCACACAGAAACAGTACTGTTATTACATATTTCAAAGCAGAACTATTCCAAGAACCATAGTAACCACCACGCTTAGCCAAAACAATCGGAAGAGAAGCATGCAGAGGTTAGCGGAGGGAGGCCAGGCACTTTGGACAAGACCGGCAGCTGATCAGATTCCAGAAGACAGACAGTGATCTCGGCAGCAGCAACAGATCAAGCCAAAGGGAGAAAACCGAGGCCCAGCCACCTAGAGGGGATCAAGCAGGAGTCAGAGCCCTGAGAATTCCTTGCGGAAACACCTTACTGACAGCATTAGACCTAACTTTTAACCCTGAAGCCCCACATGGAGTCACTAGTTTTAAAGAAAGCTCATTGACGTATGACAGGCTGAGCCAGTGTGGGCCAGCGGTCATCCATATCCCCCCCAAACCTGACATCCACCCATCAGAGAGTGTTCAGTCCATGTCTTCCTATCTGGGGCTCCCTGAGAGTACGTGTGAGCCCAGTGGGTCTAGTGGGGACTCAGGGTGGGACAATGTCACCTCCTTTTATCTGGCAGCCTGTCCCCGGTGGGTCTCGACCCCTGGAAGATGTGAGGGGGGATCTCCCTGGAAGGCCCAGGCAAAGTGATGGACATGTGAGATGAAACAACCTCAGCTCTTCCAGCTCCAAACAACGAGACACAAAGTCTCTAAAGCTTATGACCTGGGTATTTACCTACCCTTCAACCAGAGACTTGGAAGCTTTCCAGCATCTTACACGTTCCTCTTCTATTTTGTACGTTTAGACTCACAGCTCTGCGGTCATCAGTATCAAAGGCCTTATGTAATATAATCCATAACTTTTACAAGAACTCTGGGCGGGGCCTCCTGGTTTTCTGACAGCTGCTTCCAACAAGGCTCTGACTATGTCTGTTGTGACCTCACTTTCCCAGGCAGTCAGGAGTGAGCCACACTGAGTGGGGCTGTCCTCCTCCCACGAAGGGACAAAGATGATGGGCCTGTGGAGAGCCGGATGCCATCCCAAATTCAGTCCGGCAATATCTGGGGAAAAACCAAATTGCTAGGGACATTGGAGAGAGCGAATCTCCTCTACTAAAACGATCGGGGGACCTGGAGGCTAGCCTACATGAAACAAGGTAGAACTGTTAGCCAAGCTATGCAAAGATACAAACAAATGTGATGACCCACGAGGGAGGAAGAGGGTGCTTTTCTGCACAGAACAAAGGAGACGCCGGAATCAAGGTGGTGCCGCGTGTAAAGGACAAAGACAGAGCCTTCTAGGACGTCAATAAAACCCAAAGGTCGGCCACCCCCAAGCCCCAGTGGAGGCGTCCGTCAGCTCTCCCTCGACTCTGCAGCAGTTGGTATCGTCCTGAGTCGGGATCTGAGAAGGCACAAAGGCCAAACTTGTCCCTCACAGGCCGAGGGATCTCTGATACTCAGTTTCCATCATTCACATCGAGTCTTCAAAGTCATCTAATCTGCACCTTCTATTGGCGTTCATGGCGAAGGCATCCTAAGCACTCGATTTTCACAGTATATTTTACTCACAAACGATGAATTAAACGCAAACTTTGTCCAAACTTTTTCCAATGTGGTTCACGAGCGCCCTCTAGTGACAGGAAGGCCAGTTACAAGAAGCCGTTCCCCCAAAACAGTCTACAAAGCACAGATTCACTGAGCATTCGATTTCCGCTGTCAGCTAAAAATGGATCTTCTGCCACTGTTATTTGCACATCTATAAAGTCAACTTACTGCCCTCTTTTTAGAATCCGTAACTAGACAAAACCGTTTATTAAAGAATACACATATGCAAGCATGTTAAGTAAGGTGACGTTGGCTTGATCCCAATGGAAATACGTTATTTCGGATGTTGGGAAGTCTTTGTACAACAGGAAACAACATAACAAAGTGTAAAGGAAGATTTTTACTTTTGAAAATAATATACTGTGTACTTACTTCCCTTCTCTTCCTAACTTCAGCACTCCCGTAACGGATTATAAAATGATCACAACTCCTAAATCCACAAAACTCCACTTAACAATTGCCCAATCATTTCTTTCTTCCCACATTTTGTGTTTTATAAAATCAAGGCTTCCAGCAGATTCTTTCACTCCTTAACTCTGTACCACAAGGATCTTAAACTGGTGGCTATGGGCCAAACGTGGCAGGCATGTTTTGTCTATTCTTAAGACTTTCTTTCTAGCTGCCAAGATTTAAAAATCTGGATTTCTGGCATCTTCTGAAAAAGGAAAATCACATTTGGCAACATCTGTCCTGCATCCCAACATGGCAAGACATTTCCAGGGGCCAAGC